CGCTCTTCTTGGCTGATGCTCAGAAGAGTTGCTGAAAAATGCAGAGAAGACAACTGAGTACACTGAAGACAATATTTATCATATACTTCAGTTTGTAACTGGGTTTTTAGGAATCATATTTGTAATTCAGTTATTTACTCAGATTTAACAGATCTGTGTGAATATTAATTCATTTTTTTCCAAAACGACTACTTTCTTTTGTTTTTTTTTCAACTTTTAATTTCATTCAGTAATGTCCACAAGGTGGTGCCACAGCTAAAAAGTTAGCAGTAAATAAGACAAATATAATTTGATGATTCTACCTGCTCTTCATAACTGAGTAAAGTATGTGTATCATTAAAGAATGGATAAATATTTTGTAAGCATAATGTTATCTGCATTTCAGATGACATTACAGATTTGGAAGTTTCTTTTTAAATCATTCATACTTACCAGATCATAAGCAAGGATGGGTCTATCAGCTGTCTGAGTAGGAGAGGCACCTGTGCATCTGTAACCGTTGGAAACTGTCTATGAAAATGAAGAGACAGCTCGGGGTTAAGTAGAGAAGATAATGAGGAGTGAAGAAATAGATTCAGAGAGATTAAGACCAGCAGAATTCATATTCTCTAGCAGGGTTATTAGTGCAAACACGGTGCCCCACAGATGTGGTTGTATTGCTTCTAGGCCTAGCTTAAGCACAGAAGCAGTATAGCACTGTTTGTGCAGAGCTATTTGGGCACGTGTATACAGGCCAAATGTGTATTACCTGTCCAGGGTCTCAGCATGCCATGCTTGGAGCTTGGAACTAGGGAACTGCGGTGCAACGGCACTTGAGTGCTACATGCAGAGTCAACAGGAGGGCATCCAGATTTGCTAGTTTTGGCCCTTTGTCAACCTCATCAGATACAGCCTGGTCTCTGCAGAGTCTCCAGTGCCTCTTCACTATTTTTCCTTGTATTTCATGTTTTCAGAGGACTCGGTACCAGGTGCACAGCTCTACAGTAAGCAGGTACAGCTCAGATCCACCACTGTACCCAAATTAGTAAGTCATTACCTATCAAGAGCATAAGGAGATGTACTTCTGTGACACTTAAGCAGTACTGTAGGAGTCAGCTTGAATCCAGAAAAGCAGTACAGCTCTTCCTTAGCGCTGGCTGATTCAGATTCCATGCAGTCACCCTAGTGTGTCCATACCACATCATATTCTAATTTTTCCAAGTTTTTTGTAGCCAGGGATAGCCAAGCTCCCCATTATCCTATCACATGCGAGCAAACAGGTAAATATTAGTCCTAAATGGATATTAACTTCTTACGGGGGAGCATAGTATGAGAACAGCTGGATTAGTATATACAGGCAAAATTTAGTGGTAGTCTTTTTTTCCAACGGTTGTTAAAAGGGCGGCCATCCCAAACTGTCTTTAGTAGAGGTGATCAGGTTTCTAAGCATCTTTCTAAACAAGATTAGACCAGAAAAAGTAAAAAAGAATAGCAATGAACCTAAAATGACCGTAGGAATCAACTGGCCCATACAGAAGAGACAATAAAACCTTACCCTGCAAGTACTTCGTGGTAGATCTGAATGGCTGCTTTGTTTTGTAGCAGACTTAACCTATCCTAGAAGAGCTGAAGTACAACGAAAAAGGATCTACTTGAAAAGGGTATTTTAAAAATACTTTTCAAACAAGAATTGTTTTTCATTGGTTGGCACTGTTATTGTTAGAATCTCGTTTTGGTATGGTAGAAGTGTATCAGAAAGAGAATGATAACTGTTTTCACAGAATATATTTTCTCTAAATTGCTATTCTGTTATTTTAAAATACACTAAAATGCTGGTAGCTTGTTTGACTCAGTGAAAGTGATATATACCCGTGAGTGACAATCTGCCTCTCAACTGTAAAGCAGAATGAGAATTAGAGACTTAGTGACACTAGTTCTAAAAGGTATCAAATGACACAGCCCCCTTTTAGAGGATCACAATTTTAGTTATATTTCACAGTAGTTTTCAGTATCTTAATACTTGGTATTGGTTTGGTTTTAACATCTGTCTGGAAAAGTCAGAATTTGAGAACTTACTTATTAAGTGTGCAGATTCACTGAACAGGTTAGCTAGATATAATTTCTCATTCAGTTAGTCCAAATGACAGCAACACTCTGTCAAAGGATTCCTTTAAAATTGTTCTGAGTGTATGGCAGCAATGTATGTTGCAATTATAGCGATATATTTCTGTTTTAGTTTGTATGTTGCTTTTTCTCTCTGACTTTGTAACATTACTTTTGAAAATGACTGTTTTTCAGGTGTCAACCTGTAGATGCATGCATAGAGAAGAAAAGATACTCTATTCTAAAGGAAATGGTAGAACGTCTGAGATTACAGATACAGATTTCCACTGCATGTAAAACCCAGGTATGCATTATATCAGTAATTTAACAACCAAATTGAAACCCTGAACCTTTATACTTGCATTTGATGTGTTAGCAATGATTTTGCATGTGTACTGGAAATCCCATAAATATTTTTAAAACACCACAGCTATTTCTCCTCAAGGTCAGGAATTTTCTGGTTTCCCATTCAGGTAATTGCAAATAAGCTATGCTTTCAATTTATATCTATATATTTGTATCTATATCCCATTAGTATTTGTAGAATGGTAATTTTCAGCATTGTAAGTTAGGAGTCACACTGAGCACAGTTCAGAAATCATACTACAGATGCACAATGTTAACAGGAAACAATTTAGAATGGCAGTGGTATCCTACAGGATGTGTGTAACTCATTCAGCTATATGTTGATTTACACAGGACTATATTATAGACTGTACACTCTGGTAATTGTGGTATTATTATTACTAGGCAATATCTAAGCACAGGAAATGCATATAAGCATATTTGAAGTGATAACATCCACTCTTATTTGAAAAGCAATATTTTATTCTTGTTAAAAAATGCATGCTATGGCATTTGCAAGAGAAAAACACAATTTCCTAATTAGTACTTAGCAAGGTTTTTAGGAAAAAGCTGACTAATTATGGGAGGGCCTATAACCAGCATTTAGTAATAAATACAAATAAAACCCATCTTTTATTCTTAGTCACTTAAAAAATTATTTTTAAGCATGGACTGTAAACCAAGATCAGAAGGAGACAGTACACTTCCATCCAAAAGCACAAGAAAGATCAACATAACTTATCACAGTGGCACCAAAACCACAGTACTCCGGTCTATCAAGGAGAGTGATTTAAAACCATACCTATGTAGAAGGCTGTGAGGCGTGAATAATTTCATCTTACTGATACATACACATATATAGGTATGTATGTATATATGTGTATGTATATGTATACATTACAAGAAAATTAGAGGTCAACAATGAACACGTTTAAGGACAAGCACTATGGAATTGTTTGGCATTTTTAAAGAGACAGCAGCAAGTGAAGGAGAGACAAGCAATAACTAGGGCTTGTCATGAGGAATACAGGATACCACCCTGGCCCAGGAAGAACCTTTGTTGCTTTATGACACATCATGGACCACAAAAGGCTTAGTTCAAATTTAGATAAGCAATCAATTATAAGGAAGTTAATGACATAAATCTCACTTTTTTCATGAAGACTCAGCTATTTTCAAATTTACCTCCTGGCTTTTATGTCTGAAAATTTGAAAGAAATGGGATGTTTAGCAAAATGGTAAGTAGGACGGGCTGAGTATGTCTTCAGGCCCTGTGTCCCATCTAAAATCTTGTCCTATTTCTTCATCTCAATAAGAAAGTCCACCATACCCATTTATACCCATTTACCTGAAGTCCCTCTCTGCCTGCTTATCTAGCATTAAGGTTCAGGAACAGGCCCATTCTCCACCCCATGTCCCCACCCTCATGTTACAATTCAGCATCAGATTGGCTCCAAGCCTATTTTGCCTTCACTAACAGCCTTGACTTGAAAAGATTTGTCCTTTCCTGCTCCTTGTCCTAGGATGTGGCATTTGAGTTCATTCACAGTTCTGCAGCTAGAGATAACGTATGGTGAGGCCCTGCTCAGAACCTCTCTCATCAGTTCCCTTGAACCATGTAGGCTTCAGGCATAGATATGTGCTTGGGAAAATGATTAAACAAATCAAGGGTCTTCCAAGTAGAGCTCTCTCCCGGAAGGGGCATATGGTTCAAACCAGAAGAGGAAGGGAATATTCATCAGATTTTTGTATGCCAGACTCTTCTTAGCAAAGCGTTTTCAGGGCTAACTGACAAAACATAACTAACATATTCTACATACTGTTCCTATTTCTTACTTTGATTCACCAGAGAGAATAGATAAAAATTGATATAAAGTTTCCCCACTTGTTTCTTTCAACAACAGAAACTTACTGAGGAGAGAGAAAGCAAGAAGTCGTCTTAACTTTATGGAATAACAAGAGGATAGTATATGATATCCTCTCAAAAGACCTTCCACCTAAGCAGTTTTTTTTTTTAACTATTATGAAAGTCTCTTGCCTGTATTAATACATGGAAAAAAAGTAACAGTAGAACTCTGAATCAAATTATTGAATCCAAAAACTGTAAGCTCCTGATCCATACCTAAATGCATATCCATACTGCTGGGTGATATAAATTGTATTTCAGTGTAAATTCAGAACTATAGTTGATGCTATTTAATATTTTTCCTGGTTGTAATCCTTTAAATTTCAGATCAATAATACCATGCTATATTGTGTAAACTGATTGTGTTATGAGTGAGGTTCTAAATAGACACTGCAACATAAAATCAAGGATTGGCCTATTGGCATATCGAATGATACGACAGACATACAGAAAATAGTCTAATGGACTGATAAACTGTTGGAAGGTTTTGTAAAGAGCTTTCTTCTTATTTTACATCTATATTATTTAACATTAAGGAAGCTTTTGTCATTATAAATTTATAAATGCTAGTGGTCTGAATTTTTTGTGCTGGCAGTCAAACTAGCATTGAATAAAACTTTAGTTTTAGTTTTGTCAAATCTCACATTAGCAAAATTTTGAAAAAATAGCATGACCAATGCTTCTAAATTAACATTAATATGCCTTTGCTTTTGTTATGATTTCATTATAGCACTGCCTTTTGGAAGAGTCATCCGCTAATGTAAGCTGTGATTTACCAGATAATTTGAAGGTGTATTTAATTTTAAATACGGTATTCAGTGTTTTCCTGAATTGGAATCTCTGTCCTTAATTTAAACTTGCAGTATCCTGGTTAACAAAGGAACAACTTCAAAAGTACTTAGAGTACTTAATGTCATGCAAGTTTTTTTAAGTCTGTTGCTGGGATCAGGGCTTTAAAAGCAAAGGTCAGATAAAGATCCCTACTTGGAACACACTAGGAAATTAGCCTATATGTTTATTTTTTCTTTGATGAATCTACTTATTAAATAGTTAAATGACCAATAATACTACTCGTAATATAATTAAATATATTTTTATTTGTGTGAGTCATGGGAAAGAAACAAATATATGTATTCTGTTGAACAGCAAACCTAACATGACTGCAGTACGTGTGAAT